GATACTCGTAAGGGAAACTATGAATTTAGTTCATGCCAATAATTTCTTATCTTTCTTTCAGCTAATAATTGTACAGATAACTGTACAGCTAGTTGTACAATTGAGTGTCAAAATAACGGGACATGTGCAGGTAATGATACATGTACATGTACTGACGGATGGACTGGTGACATATGTGATACTCGTAAGGGAAACTTTGAATTTAGTTTATTCTAATAATTTCTTTTCTTTCTTTCAGCTAATAATTGTACAGATAACTGTACTGCTAATTGTACAATTGAATGTCAAAATAACGGGACATGTGCAGGTAATAATACATGTACACGCGCAACTGGTTGGAGTGGAGCAAGATGTACAATTGGTTAGTAAAATTCATGTTTGAGATGTTTTCTATAATTCCTGTTCCTGAACATTAGGACGAGAGAATGTAAATGAGATTGTATGATACTATTGTCTTGCGCATAAGGTCGAGAGATGAGCTTGTGGTAAGGATCTGAGTGAATCTTTTTGTAACACTATTGTCGTAACCCTCACAACATGTTCAGAGAAATTATCCATTCAGGATACAAAAATTTTTCACAAACAATGGTGAACACCACAGCTCTTCATCTTGTTTATATCGTATTTATCTTTAACATTGATACTATAAGAAAGCAGTGTAATACTCTTTGTTTGTATAATTTGATTTACTTAAATTTCGCTAAAGATAAAATTTTGAAGATCGAATAAATGTGATGATCGATACTAGTTTTTAAATACGACAAATAAACAAAGTATATTTTGAATTTGATAGGTTGTACCGGTATGTTTTCTAATCAAACTACTTATACAACTGATACCAATCCAATTTCGCTGGTACTAGCTGATGTAGATAGTGACAATCAACTGGATATTATTGTTGCAAACTATGGTTCGAATAACGTTGGTGTTCTTATCAATGGAGGCAATGGCACATTTCTTGCTCAAATTACATATACAACTGATACTAATCCATACTCAGTGGTAGTAGTTGATGTAGATACTGATGGCAAACTAGATATTATTGTTGCAAACTATGGTTCGAACACCGTTGGCGTTCTTCTCAATGCAGGCTCTGGTACATTTCTTGCTCAAACTATTTATACAACTGATACGAATCCAAGCTCAGTAGCAGTAGTTGATGTGAATAGTGACAGTAAACCAGATATTATTGTTGCAAACTATGGTTCGAACGACGTTGGCGTTCTTATCAATGCAGGCTCTGGTACATTCCTTGCTCAGACTACTTATATAACTGATACCAATCCAATCTCAGTAGCAGTAGTTGATGTGAATAGTGACAACCAACCAGATATTATTGTTGCAAACTATGGCTCAAATGACGTTGGTGTTC